GACTCTTCATGAGGAGGATGGCAATAAGTGTTTTTCCTGCTCCTGTTTCAAGAAAAGCGATTGTATTGTTCTTTCTGGCATGCTCAAGTACATCCAACTGATACTTGCGTGCTTCCTCCTTGGGAGCTTGTTCCTTTAATTTGTCATCTTTCTTCTCAATAGCTCCAGAAGGTTCACGGCTTCTCTCAGTTGGTAACTTCCCCTCTCGATTCCTATCAGCTTCCCATGAACCCACACGATAGACCATCTCTTTCCTTTCTTTGTCCCATTCCCAAAAGCCACTCCCTTCCCTCCAGTTCCTATCTCTTCCACCACGACCACCATGATATTCTCTTCTTTTTCTTTGATCCCTCCCTACTCTATTGATTTCATCATTCTCACGAAGTCTCTTCCTAGCCAAAGGTCTATCAAAGCCTCTCCTCTGGTAGCTATCATCACCTAGCCGCGCCCTTTTTCCATTTCTCTCTTCTTTATCATTACAACCTCGTTCCTTATGCCTGGAAAATCCATTTCCTTCTTGTAAAGACTTCTTCCCCAAATCACCTTTGTTGTGCTCCACATCCTTTTTAGCCTGTGGCCCATTGTCCTTACAAATTCCAGGTGCAGCTAAAGCTTCACTATGTACATTACTGTTGTTTCCATCCACAGAATGTACAGAACCATCACCATTCTTTAATTTCTCAAGAATCCCATCAATACCACCAAAGAAACAAGGATCAAGACTCCCATCCGGACCCAATTGATTCAATGGCGCAACGGGTACAGTGTTCGACCCAACAAAATCTTGGATGAGATCATCACATGAGATGTCCTCATAAGCATCAATCCAATAAGAAGGTTTGTCAGAGACTCCACCACCATCACCATCCATTACAATATACTATGATATTACCCAATTCAAGAACCCCCAAATGAGTAAAAACAACAATAACACAAAAATAAGGCCAACACAGATCCTGTATTCAACCAAAAAATCAAAACTTTATAAATATGCGCATATAAAATAGAACAAACTTAGAATAAAATGGGCTTGATAGAATAGAACCTGCGAAATAGTGGAGCTAAAAAGATCAATTCAATTTATTCGTTTCAAAGATTCGAACTTTGTTCAGATTCTTCAGCTTCAGTGGACTCTCTGGAAAGGGGGGAAAAAGGGGCGGCGAGTTCTTGATTTTTTGCAAGTCAGGAGGAAAGTACACTGTTTGCACCTGTAGACCTAGCAATCAAAATGTCAACAAAACAAATAAAAATGCATGAAAGGAAAAAGGCAAAATATTTATGTAATTTCTTCAAATTGACATATGTAAGTCAAAACATATAGTTAGTGATAAGATAGACTTCTGTAATTCATCCAAATGTATTTTATAAAAGTATACATGTGAAAAGAATACCTAAAATTATAGTATATTTTACCTAGTTTCTTCAAAGTTTCTTTTATAAAATAAAAAAATAATTCAACTCACTGAATCAATTTTCTTCAATAATTATACCCTTGTTAAAAAAAAATTGATTTTTTATTTATGATCAAATCATCTTTCGGACTTTAATATTGTGTTCTCTTTTATTTTATGTTTTTATTTTAAAAAAATATTTAGTTTTAAAGTTGATTTTAGTCAACAATAAAATTAAGTTTTTTATGAATAAGCAATTATTATCCGAGCATTTAAGTTTTACATAGGTAACAAATTTAATAAAAGCAAGATATAAGTATAATTATTTCAGTAAAGGATAACAAAGAATCAACAAAATTAATATATGTAGAGCGTGGGAAGAAAATCTTTTTTGGCAAGTAAAAACTTAAACATAGACAAGATATACCAATCAACAATTCGAGTAAAGATAAAAAGATTGAGCAAAATTAATACATGTAAAACGAAGAGGGAGGGAAATCTTTTATGATAAGTAAAAGATTTAAACATAGATAAGCTACAAATATCAATAATTTGAGTACCAATAGGAAAGATTCGACAATTAATACATGTAAAGCGAGGGAGGAAAATCTTGTATGATGAGTAACGGGCTTAAATATAGATATGATACAAGTACCAATAATTCGAGGAAGGATAAAAACACTTTTGGTAAAATTAATACATGTCGAGTGAGGGAGAAAAATCTAAAACATAAAAATAGGAAGACATTAAAAAGAAACGCTCAGAAAGTATAGATCTACACATATATCATACAATTATCATTGATCTAACAAAATAAAATAGGATGGACTTACACAAGGAATATAAATTACAACAAGCAAATAGTAAGTATCTCAAACCAGTCGAAGAAGGAAACTCAAAGATCGAATCCAACAGAGGTGTTCCGCTATATAAGATCAAAGGAAAACGTGAATCAGTAAATGAACATGATAAATAGATGAAGAAGATGAGTAGATGTACTTACGTAACTTTAAAGGCACTAAAAGAGTTAGGATCTTCGATAATCAGTTGTAAATCACCGAAGGAAGTTGAAAAGCATATCAATGGTGATGACTACTAAAAGCTTCACGACGGAGAACACGAGAAAGATGAAGGAAGGAGCTTCTAGACTTAGATACAATACGAATGATTTTTATCATAATTTATATTTCAGTAGGATAGATATTTTATTTATTTGGGTCGGGTATCAGTTTGAACTACATTGTATTTTGTTGAATTTGTTTTGATCTATTACAAATAAATAAATTCGGCCCATAAGGCCCAAAATGATTTTAGAATATATAATGAAAGAAAGAGGAGTTGACGAGCAAAGGTAACATAAATGAAGAAAATGATAAATGAAATAACATAAATGAAGAAAACATGTCATTGTGTGCTTACACAACTTTAAAGGCACTTAAAAAGAAAGAATCTTCGATAATCAGTTGTAAACCATTGAAGGAAGTTAAAAGGCATATCAATGATAATGGCTAATGAATAGAAGCTTCACGGTGGAGAATAAGAGAGAGAAAAAAAAAGAAATTTCACAATGTATCCAATATGTAGCAATGTTAACTAACATTATATGATGTTTGATACACTTATTTAGTGTATTTTGAACAAGAAGGTACGCACATGGTATATATCCATATATATTTTTTGTCACAATGTATCTGAGTTAAGAGTAAATGTATTTAATTGTATATGTGTATATGATATAAGTCTTTATGTATTTGTCAGGTATACTCATGTATCTAAGTAAAAGCTTATGAATAGGGCAAACAATAACTTTAATTGTGTATTTGAGTTGTATCACTCATATAATGGGGCATCTGAACATGTATAAATACATGTCATTAAATCTCATATACATAATTCTTAACAACATGGTGATATTCACCATTGTTGAGTCAAAAGCTTGAAATTATTGGAGAAGGTTTCTGGAGAAAAAGAAGTGCAAAGTTTTATGATTCTTTAAAATTTTTTAGAAGGATTTCGAATGTTTTGAAATTTATAGGAGTAATGATACCGTGAGATACTTCAAAATTGTTACTCGCGCCTCAAATCATGTTTTTCAGTTACATTCCTTATTAAAATACACTTAATTATATATATTTGGCTAACATGTATATGAGATACATGTATTTGAATGTGCCATATACATGTATTCTAGGTGCAAATCATGATAGTATTTGTTATATCACAAGCTCACAAAAAAGAGATAATTAACTAGTGGGGTTGTATTATTTACCCTAAAATCTACCTGATAGATAAGGTGAGTTTGAGCACAATCCATCTAATCCATGACAAAAGTTAGATTCAAAATTGACCCAAAAATAATCCAAACTCAATTTATTACTATCCAAACTTCAACTCCGATGAAATTTGAACTACTTGCAACTACACAACATGTTTGGCGCCTTTTAAATGCCTTTTTTGATGGTTATCTTTATAAAAAATTTACTATCTCATAAATAAAGAGTATCATACAGATAATAGATTTAAGTACAAATACATATTTTATGAAATTTTGCATCTTACTTCAAAGTACATTTAATAAAATTTACTTTTTTCGTTTAAATTTATATGGTATTTTTTACTTCTTGAGAGTTAATTTGACTAATCTTTGAAGCTAAATTTGATTAAATGAACTTAATATTTTTAAATTAAAAATTTATATATTCAAAAACTATATGAAAAGTACTATAAGCTATAGTTTTTACTCATGTCAATATGATAAAAAATATATTATAAAATGCCAAATAAAATTTATATAATTTGAATTTGAAAAATAAAAAGTGACACATAAATCAAGACATATTGAACATAACAAATTTGAATATATATATATATATATATATATATATATATATATATATATATATATATATATTTATATTTATTTATTTATTTTCATCTAGTATCTGATGTTTGCATTGAACCCCGACTAGTTCGAATTCATGCCGCATAGGACCCTATTCCGGGGAAGTGCTCAAAAAGTTTGCGCCGCATAGAGTTGTTCAATTACAATCACAATAATAGATTCAAAAAAGTTTTTCCTGAAACCATTTAGGACTACATAAATTGTATGTAGGGTAATATGGAAGAAAACTTTTGTGAATATTTATTGATATCATTAGAGAAAAATGAACAAAAGTTGTGTTAAGTTGAGGTGTTTAGCCCATCTTGATCTAACTATCTTAGCTCAAGTAGACTTCCGGCAAAATTTGCCAACGACTCATTTATTGATTCAGTCCATCTTTTGACCTAACAATTGCACAATATTATTCATCAAAATCTGCATGAATCATAAATGTTGGTCAAAGTAACACAAAGATCACTTTTTTCTACATTGAATGAATAATTGCAACCCTGAGGGGTAGCTCAGCTGGTAAAGGCCTGGGACAAAGTCCTTCAGGTCGCCGGTTCGAGCCCCAGCAGGGCCACTGGAGGCATTACAAACCGGCCGCGTCTCCAGGGCCCCGTGGAACTAACCGTGGTGGACCCGCCTTGAAACAGCGGGACCCGATGGGTACAGCTAGTCGGGTTCGCAAAGCGACGCCCGGAAACCACGGTAAAAAAAAATAAAAAAATGAATAATTGCAGAAAGAGAGATAACAATTAAAGTAGAAGTGCATCAAGGTTCCTCTTCCCTTCTGGCCCTTTAGTGTACCATGAGGAGACATAGTCGCCATAAATCACTGGACGATATCTAGGCGGATGGAAAGCTGGAGAAATTTGCCTGGTCTTGGAAGGGTCATGGAATGTGGCAACTGAGAGTCTGGATCTTCCAGCATTCGTCACTGCCCGGTGTTGAGCACTTTTGTACTCGCCATTAGTTATGATCTGCAGGAAAATAGTTTTCATTCAAAACGGTACTAACACGGAAATACAACATATATTAGATAAAAAAAAAAAAACCAAACACACCCCTCACTAAACAACAACATACCCAACATAGTCCCACAAGTGGAGTCTGGGGAGGATGGGTGTAGAGAGTCTAGGGAGGATAGGTGTAAAATAACACATTTAACTTGAAAAGGAAGAAAACATTTGTAATGAACTCATATTGAATGGATAATTGGAATTACATGTACAACTATAAGAGTTCATCATTCTAATTACTCCAAAACTATTAACAAATCCTTCCAAGGGAAGAAGTAGAAATAAAAAAGAAGAATGGAAGGAGTTCCAGATTAAACTAAGAAACTAAGAAATAAGAGACAAGTTCATAGCATAATCCTAATTGAGTATTTCCCTCTTCTATATATAGGAATCTTCCCAGGGTCCCAAATGTAATTTAGCAGCTTCTCACGTAGGTCCTCTAGCTAAGTTATATTCATAAAAATTCTCCCCTCCTCAATAATAACCTTGTCCTCAAGGTTTGAGTATAGTCGTAATGAGACCACAGTGTTGTCATGTTCCTCTTTATAAGTGTTAACAACCCATAGGAATTCTTCTAACACTTCATTATCCAAAGAAACTTTCAATAACATTTTGCTTTTTAAACCAGAGGATGCATCCATGTCTAACAAGATTAACATCAAGGAGTTGCTTGAGAGATGAAGATGGCAGAACTAAAGGACCGACATTGAACACCTTATGGAGCTTTGATCTGAGAGCATTGAGAATTGTTGGATCCAACTCCACTAAAATATTATGAAATGATGGCACTGGCACCTGTAAGATCTCTGTAGTTCAAAAAGCACTCCAAGGGACAACCACTTTCTCAACCAACTTGAACCAAATCCTTCCAGCACCCACAGAACCAACTTCCAGTAGCTTACATTCATTAGGGGATAACTCTTCAAAAAATGTAACCAACACTACATATCTCTTCCCGATTTCAGAAACATCCAACAAACACTTGATCTTGTGTTGAGAGCAAGACCACATCTTTAGTCTATTGGGAGCCCCACCAACTAGCAACAGATCCAGCATTGTAGAACAAGATGTCAGTAAATTTTCTGAAATAAACTCATGAACAAGAGCATTGGCAGACTGTGGTGGTGTAAGAGTACAACAATGGTGACTCAAAGCATTTGGTACACATCCCAATTTTGTCATGTCTCTAAGAAGTGAACTACCAGAGTCTACCTCATCGACTACACATTTTGCTTGTATCACTTGAGCAAAAGTGAATGCAGAAGGAGAATTACCTTTCCCTAGCAATTCATAGAACACACATTGAGCAATTTTTGGACAATATCCAGCCAACATAATTTTCAATATGTTATGTGTGCCTACCTTTTTGTTATTTGCTGCCTGCAACTCACGGTTGACAAACGCAGCAGCTGCACAAACATGCGAAGAGAATGCTTCTTGTAGCATTTTCATAATTTTCGTCAGCTCACTGATTGCAACAATTGTTTTGTCAATATCCTCAATAGGCGGTGCCTTCTGCGTGACTTCCCTCGCAGCAGTTGTAATTCCCAAAGCATCAATAATTGTGTTTGACGTGGTGTTTGCACCTTCTAACAGTAACATTTGATCACGAGAGGCAAATGGAAATTTTCAAGCTGGTTGACTTGCTGTTCATAGAGCATTTGCTTTTGCAAATATGGTATTGTAGCTCTTTTGTTTGTTCACCAAGAAAATCTTTCGCTCTTTCAACCTCAGGAGCAATACTTTTAAATAAAATTGCCTTTTTTACAAGCACCTCAAACATCATTCCATCTTTGATCCAACAGTGATCAAACTTGCAAATTTGAACTTTGAGATTAAATTGCTCAAACCAATCAGGAGTCAAGCTAACCTTGGCATCAGAAAAGATGTGACTACTCCTTTTTAAAATGGTTGTGACGGGATATCCTAATGACATTAACCCATAAAAGAGTCGAATACAACTCGCAAAGATGATCCATAAGACTACAACTAAGCAGTCATCAACCCATTCAACAATTGAGTGACCATTAGACATCTGAAGGTGGTTAAGACCAGTAGGTGGAGCTGGTCCAAAAACACTACTGTACCATTTCTCATATTGGGGGTCATCATTCAGAACATCACAGACAAAGCTTACACCAGCTCTCTGATTTATATCATTGCTGCAAGACCATTCGGGGTTCCCTAAACGTCCAAATACTGTTCTTGCATATTGGCATGTCACAAAAATATGCAATACTTGGTCAGCAGAGAAGAGTGTAAACCCAGGCCAATTGCCACTTCGCAGAACACATGTTGTTCGATTAATTGCGACATCAGATCGATACCATAAATCAACAGGCTTCTCACCTATGGGCTATGGTATTTAGTTGCTCCAACAACCTAAGCACAATAAAACTATTTTCTCCATGAGAGGAAGCAACTGTAGTGTATGGCTGCCAGGACAAGTTGAAGTTGCAAAAATAGAAGTACTGGATGAAGTCATATGCATCAATATACTTCTCTAATTCACCAGAAGAAACAACCCCGACAGCATGGTTAGCAGTTATGCAATGATGTTCAATATGCGTAATACTTCTAATATCGTTACATATGTCACAGGACTATGACCTCATGTGCTACGTATACACCGGGATCAAATGAAAGTTGTAAACATTTAATCATATGGACCAATGTGATTCTATCCATAATCAGAATGTCACTCTCAGATTCAATGTACGATCTAGCTGAGTCGAGATTAAAAGAGTAAGCATATTCATAGCTGTCCAACATATCAACAAACACCTTGTGTGCAATGGTAAGTGAGGATACTTCACCTACATCTGAAGTATCGTCAACGCTCAGAAGTGGAAAGGCATTCGAACAATTAAAAAGAAGAACTCGGTTGAGTGAATGCACACCCGAGTTTACCTTATCAAAGCAAGCCCCAATATCCCGCCCAGTATCAAACCAATCGCAAATGTGTAAACCAAGCGAACCAATAGCTGTATGAGGGCAAAGAAATTCTGCAAAAATATCTCTCTTCCGCATTATATCGAACACCTTGCAGTCAAACTCCATGTCAAGCTTATGTCCGTGTCAGTTCCTTAACTGAGAAGGACAAACTAGAAAATTCAAGCTCGGTAGTGTCAATAGAAGCACTGAACAGAACAGAGGGAGAAATGGTCTTTTGTATTGTATATCCAACATCAAGAATGGGAAGTTGAGAATCCAAATGTGATTTCACGGTATCAGCAATCTCGGTGTCATTATCATCGCAAGTTGACTCTAGCACAGAGGTGATAGTTTTATCATCTAAAATCTCTGGAGTATCGGTGAAAATGGAGTCCAATCGCATCTCCTCCTGCAGCAATGACCGCACATGACAAATAGAAGAGAGCATACACTTGTTGTTTGCCTCTAGCTCCTTCATCGATTCTTGCAGCACCTTCAACGATTCAGAGAGGGTGTTGAATTGATCATCAAGCATGGCAGAAGGGTAAAGAGGCATGGAGTACGAATAATTAAAGCACCAATGTAATGAACTCATATTGTATTGAAATGGATAATTGGAATTACACGTACAACTATAAGAGTTCATCATTCTAATTACTCCAAAACTAGTAACAAATCCTTCCAAGGGAAGAAGTAGAAATAAAAAAGAAGAATGGAGGGAGGTTCCAGATTAAATTAAGAAACTAAGAAATAAGAGATAAGTTCATAGCATAATCCTAATTGAGTATTTCCCTCTTCTATATATAGGAATCTTCCCAGGGTCCCAAATGTAATTTGACATCTTCTCACGTAGGTCCTCCAGCTAAGTTATATTCATAACAACATTTCTAAAATGGATATATATTTTCTATAGCAAAGGAGGGTCCTCTGTGGGAGGCAAAAACTGTTGTTTCTAGGCAAAAAAAAAAAAAACCCCTCTATCAGTTCAAAAGAACTAAAACCTTTTTTTTTTTAAAAAGAAGAAGAAGAAGAAGGAATTTACCTTAGCAGTGCCTTGACGAAATTTGTTGAAGTGATCAAAGTTAATAATGTCATCAATCAAGTTCACATGGTAGAAGAAAGATGAAAATCGCAACAACAAAAGAGAAGAGGGAACGAGAGGCCTGGGAATAATAGTTTTGCAGAAGAGGAGTTTTGAACGAGTGGGCTTGGGTGTGGAGACATGGGTATTTTATATATTATTAGGTGTTTAGTTGCTTATAATTCAGCCCCCATCTCTTTTAATCAGTGTTTAAAGGTGATATTTTGTGTAAAAGAAAAAAAGGTCGGTCAATTCGTCTCTTTTTTAATTCGAGACTCACCACGTCTTATCCCCTCAATCCTCTCTAGAAACTTTAGAAGTCCTAAAACTTACACATGAAACAAACAAAATGAACCCCCCACCAAAGGAAAAAATAGGGGACCAAAAAAATGCTAACAGATGCAATAAAATAGAAAGCAGACTGAGGAACTGTAAATTTTCTAGCTTTTCTCCAAGGCCAAATTCAACAAACATGACCACTTGGGATTAAGAAACATTAGCACAGCTACTAACAGACATTTATAAAATGTCGCTTGAAAAGTGGCACAGATACCCACCCCTTTCCTCAGGATTTTGGTCCAGGACCATGAATTTCTCAATAGAAAAGTCAACTGGAATAGGGTTAATAGATACAAACAAATGGAAAGCATTTGTTCAACAAACAACATTTTCCTTTATTAGTAATCCCTTAAGCATCAGGTACCCATACCTTTCCTCCAAATTCTGGTCGAGGACCATAAATTTCTTAATTTGAACGTCAACCGGATTAGGGTTAACCCCCTAACCAGCTTGTCACATGGTTGGGGTGCAGCAGGGTGGAAGTAACCGAAACAGAAACCACAAAGTCACAAACAACCCTAGCACACACATTAACAAATTCACTTATACACGATTATTGAAAATAATTTCAGCTTCATATGTACAGCTTTTTCTTCATTGATCAACAACTAAATTGAGTTTTTCAGTATGATCGTAGTATTTTGAATTTTTAAAGCAAAACATGGCATGCAGGAAGCATGAATTAATCAGTAACCATAGCGAGAAACAGTACCTCAGTTTGGTCTGCTAAGATCACACAGATAGCATTTGACATTGGATTTACAGAAACCCATTCTCCATTATTGAAAACCTCAAGACCCCCCACGTCATCTTGGATGAGAAGTGTAATAGCACCAAAGTCAGAATGTGATTGCAGTCCAAGAGTAAGCTCTGGTTGAGGGCAGGGTGGATAGTAACTAATAGTGATATTTTGGTAAAACTCCCCAACAACATTTTCTATGCACTGACATGTCAAGTCTAGACTCTCAGAGACTAAACCAAGAAGTTCCTGTGCGAGAGCTTTCATGTGATCGCTGTATTCTGCCACAACTTTTCTGCAACAAATTGACATAGTCAGTCAAATTTAAGTGATAATCAGGAAAAAGATGAATTAGGAAACCCATGAACAGATGGACATTCAATGCAGAAGTTTACTAGTACATATCTGACATGTGTAAATATCCGCATTAGATATGTGTAGTTTTTCTTTTACTAATTTTTAGTGTATTTTGGAGAATCCACAAAACCTACTCATACCAAAGTCACATCCTTTCAGCAAGGGTATATCAAGCCAAGTGAAAGATCCATGTAAGGATGACAAGGCTTGGGATTCGACTGTTTTGCCTCTTTTTATTTCTTGTACTTTGGCCTTTTCAATTTTGTTTTCGTCTCTCAGTTTAGACTTCTCAGTTGATGTGGCTGTAACTCTGGCTCAAGAACTAACTGCAGCCAGTGGCGGAGCCACCTTACAATGAGGGGGTTCATCCGAACCCCCTTTGGTGGAAAATTATATAATTTATACATGGTTAAAATAATTTTTTAGTTATATAAAGTAGATGTTGAACCCCCTTCGGCTACTTTGTGTGTCTATTTTTTTAGATTTTGAACCCCCTTATTGAAAATCCTGGTTCTGCCATTGACTGCAACAAGTACTTTTTTAGGGGCCATTTATTGCAGATTTGAGCTTAATATTGCTCTACTCTGTACACAAACTTCTTTTATGAAGGAAGAAGAGAAGAATCTTCACTCGTATTTAGTTTGGTGAGGGAAATGTAGGGACATGAGTACACTAAAGCAGCCTGATGATGGTGATTTGGGACAAAGTGTGCGGCAGCATTAGGGTCAAGACAATGCAGATCAGGGCTCATAGGGGTTGGAAATTGTTGGAATTAAGAGGTTTTTACTTTGTTAATAGCTTAGGCGAGCTTTATGCATGAAACAAGCTTAGAAAGGAAATAATTGATACTCATATCCTGAGCAACTTCCAATCACTATTTCTTCGATTAGTTTCTCGTAAAAGATTTTATTAACACTTATACAGACAGTCAGAGACATTTTAGCACTGCAGGAATTCCGAGAAATTATCAGTTACCTTTCAATTCGCGGCAATGGAGTTATTATATAATGTTATGTTTACAAAAAAAAAGGAAGTGAACATTCCAGAAAAGCAGTCCTAAAAACATAAAATGACCACTACAGACTCTTAACAGAGACGCTAAGGAGGTGGTAAAAGGACTCAAGTTTCTCCCTACTGATCAAATAAGCAAACTTGAAACCTCCAAAATTGGCAAAATCTTTGCACTTGCATTACTTTAGTATTCAGCATACAAGCACCTCAAATATAGATGTTTCATTTTACTTGTTCATTTTAGCAAAGCAAGAGAATTTATACGTTTGGTGTGCTGTGTCAGTTCAACAGAGGCCAATTAATATGAAACGGAGGGAGAATTTGTATTAGTTAGGAGAAGAAGTCAGCAAAACCTGTAATCGGCCGGAGACTCGGGCCAATGAGAAGGATTGCGACGTGATGAAGGCAAAGTGTGGTGATCGAAATAATCTCTCCAATCCAAAACCGTGTCATTTGATGCTACAAGCATGCGACTGCCATATCCTTCAGAAGCAGGAGAAGCAGAATCGCAAGAATACTTAAGCTTCTCTTCCATTGTGCGACCTTCAAAAAAAGTGCGACCAACACGCCTCATATCATCCAACAAACTAATCGGAACCTTATGGTTTATCACTTGAAATGCTCCCCATTCTTTGCACGCTTTCTTCAGTTCATCGAGAAGGTTCGTTCGTGAACTGAGATCGATTACTGGTACAGCTGCTTTGACGTTAGTTTTTTCTATTTGTGGTCTGGTTTCCGGTGGTTGTACGTACTGTGATGGTACTGCGATCTCACCTTTTTCAGCCAATAATTGTACTCTCAGAGTCTCCATGAGTTTTTAGTTACAATTTACAAAGGTAGGAATGATCGGAATATTGAAATTCAGTGGTTGAGGACCGGTGATTGAGGTGAGACGGTCACCGGGAACGGCCGCGAGCGACGGAGGATTGAGATTGAATCTGGAATTAATCACGTAAAATTTTGTACACTTTCCCGAGAAAATCACTTGTATGAAAAGGTCCATTATTTTCTTTTGGTTACAATTTAGCCCACAAACTTTTAAGTCAAGGGCAAACGAACTCCATTGAATTATTTCTTATTGCAAAAATAATAATGTTGATACAAAGGTATACAAGATGACACTTGCAAGTGTAGTGTATTACGTTTAGCAAGAAAATGATGTTCAAATATTTACATAAATATTAAATAATCACACATTTATATCTAAATTATTATTTTTTTGGAAATATATGATATTACTTCCGTCTTCAAGCGAAATTGTGAGTTTATTATAATAGATTTGTCAATGAGAACTGAAATCATTTTTTTGTGAATGTGTTTGTCACTTGATTCACAGAGTTAATGTAGCTAACCTAAAAATTTCTTGGACCAATTTTTTCTTTGACAAAGTAAAAATCAAGCTCAATATACTTAGTGCGAGCATGGAAGACAACATTAATTATAAGATTTACAATTGATAAATTATCATATCAAAAATTTGTAGTAGTAGACAAAACATGTAACTCTTGAAGAATGTTTTACAATCACATTATTTCAGCTGTTGTAGCAGCTAAATTCATATATTCAGAATTAGTATTTGAGTGAACAACAAATCTCTGTTTTTTGAAGCTCAAGTTGGAACCTAAATAACTCCAATATTCATGTATAGTCCTGCAATTACTGAAACTCCAATTTGATGCACATCAAACAAACCATCCAATAAGAATAATAACAGATTTTCGAATAAACAGAATAAATCTTATTTAGACGAAACAAAACCAACTTTTAACCTCTCAAAGCAACCATTTGGTGAATAAAATGTTCCACTTATTTGCCAAAAAAATAAACTTACTATGAATTGGATCATATAATATAATAATAATTTCTAATATTTGTTTTAAAAATATAGCAAAGTTGGCTATCCCTTTGTATGGTTTTTTCTTATCCCAATAATCCATTTCTTCTCTCCCCATTGGTCATACCCTTTGTAAATCCAATTTAGGCAACTACTCTCTCTTCCCCATTTTTCTCTCAATTTTTTTCTTTACAATTCAATTCATCTGCAATGCTTCCTGCAATTCTCTCCTCTCCTTCATCCTCTTCCACTTCCACTTTCCCCCTCAGATATTCCTCTCCTTCATCCTTAACCAATCTTTCATCACTTCCACTTACCATTGGATGCAGAAGAACAAGTAAAAAATCAACACACAACAACTGCTCCATCAGAGTTCAAGTGTCATCGAGGATGATTGAGAAGGAAACCCCAGAAACTGAACGGCCACATACATTTCTAAGAGAATCTGATGAAGGGTCATCGGGGGATGAGTCATCAAAGCCGAATTCGGTTAGAGCACGTTTTGAGAAGATGATTAGGGAGGTTCAAGACAGTGTTTGTGCTGCTTTGGAAGATGTGGATGGAGGGGGGAAATTCAAGGAAGATGTTTGGTCCAGACCTGGTGGGGGTGGTGGGATTAGTAGGGTTTTGCAAGATGGGGATGTTTTTGAGAAGGCTGGTGTCAATGTTTCTGTTGTTTATGGTGTTATGCCTCCTGAAGCTTATCGAGCTGCTAGACCAGTTGATAATGGAGATACTAAACCTGGGCCTATCCCCTTTTTTGCTGCTGGCGTTAGCTCGGTAAATTTCTCACATGACTTAATTTTTTTTTGTATGTGCTACCACTATATCACGGCTGGGAAATTCTCCATCTGTTTTTGTATGTGCTACCACTACCCTCATTGTTCCAGCTTACAAGAGCCTGATCTGCCCTTTCAGGCATAGTCCACCTTATGCCTCTGAAATTAGTAAACAGGATCCATAGCTGGTGCCTGGTTAACCACTTTACAATGTTAAAACAGATGGTTAATTCTCTCTGCCTGTTGCTCATAAAAATAACATCTTGGACACATTTGTATGCCCCTCTTCATGAGGTTCTCTTGAGTTAGATCAGCCTCTTTCACTACTAGCCAAGTCAAGATGGCCACTTTGTAGGGGATTTTCAATTTCCATATAAGCTTCCAGGGTAAGAAACTGATTTGAGACCCCATCTGATTCAAATTCTTATAAGCAGAGCTGACTGTGAAAAAGTCTTTGTTATGGCATTTCTATCTGAGAGTATCTTTGGTCCTGAATACTGATTTATGGTGCCATAAAATTCAGCTACTCTTTCCACATTTCTTACTTTGGTTACACTCTGTTTGGATTGTTGTGGCATATTGTTTCATAATGTATCATATTGTATTGTTTTGTGTCATACTGTATTATTTTAATGAATACAATGTTGCAATCACACCAAATCTGTCGTTACACAAAGTGGGATTTTCCATTGTTACCCAAAGATGGATTTAACGATCTAACAATCAAAACAAAATTGTATATCAACTAACAATACAATACAACAAGTAACAACCATCAAACAAGCTGTTATAAGTGTCATTCAGATTTGGTGATTCAAAGGGATTCATGTTGGTTTTGTGATGCTTTTCTGTAGGATATGATATTCTTCATGTATATTGCATTTAGTAGTTTTGTTTTTGTTTTCCTTCTGTCTCCACTCACTAATATAAACTCTATTCATATGAAGTACCAGTTGGTTTATGATGAATCTTATAGTAATGGATGCCCGAATAGAATGAAATATATAAACAGATTAAAATGACTAACCAAACTAGGTCTGAATTGAGGCTTAATTTATCTATTTCACTTGCTTATTAAGAACCAAAAGTTATCCAAAGGGATTCACGTTGATTTTTGAATGTCTTTCGGAAGATTATGGCATTCGACAAGTATATTGCACTAGTAGTTTTGAGTTCGTTTTCTTTTTGTTTCCACTTGCTTACTTGATCTCCACCTGTGAACTTAGAAGGTTGCTGTTGGCCAACGATGTAAAATTCCCTTTTTTTTTGTTTATCAACATTTTATTTTTGGGATTAGTGTCTATCAATTTAAGAGCCAAGTAAATTTTCCCTTAAGAGTTACTGTTATGATTTATCACTCTCTCGCTAATATTCACCCAAAAGCTTAAGATTTTCAGTAATAATGATTGCCGGATGAGAGTGGAACATATAGGGGATTCATATGAGATTGAGGGTAGTTAATTGATTCCACTTGCTTAGTTAAGAATCAGCATGGACTAGACTACTAGAGTAATTACCTTCTTTTAGTATTGTTCTCTGGGCAAATCTTGGTCCATTTTACTTGAATATGTCACTGAACCACAAGCCAAACATTATCATCATTGATAAAGGTTTTATTTCTTTTACCAGGTTATACATCCAAAAAACCCCTTTGCACCAACTGTACATTTCAATTATCGCTACTTTGAGACTGATGCTCCTAAAGGTATTCCCCTTCATAATTTTGGTTATTATTCAGTGATGCTGATCTGCTTTCAATTTAAATGGAGTAGAAACTATGAGTTTATGAGAAAAGAAGAGATTGTGCAGGACTAGCGAGTGTTATTGATATCTATTGTGCTTTTCTAATTTTCTTTGAGATTTTGGAATAAAATAATAATAATAATAAAAAGGGATTGCAGTCATAGACATAGACTAGAGAATCCACTTATCCTGCTTTTCACAGAAATTAGTAGTGTTGACGAATGCAAAGCACATCTACAACTTTTGCAGTTTTCCCTCAGTCAGAGTAATTCTTGTTGGAGTAGATTTCAAAATTAATTCAGCTCCAAGGTGTATCATATTTGCTTTGCTTTGCTTCCTATATCCTGCTGGGCCATAATGAACTTGTAGTTCATTTTCTGGGAATGTTATTTCTCTAAAATGGAGTAACATGCCATCATAATTCTTTCCTATTTATTGGGTAACAATAACACAAGAACATTATTCTCAAAATGAAAGCACTTTTTGCACAATTTAATCTTTCTAGTGCAATCAGTAACTCCATCTGTCATTAGAATATCCTCAAATGACAGAAAAAAGTAAGAAAAGAAGCGGCACCTGAAAGAAGGAGGTTCATTCAGAACGTAAAACCATAGCAATGTAGCAACAACGTGGGGATGGGATGGATGGCGGTGGTGTTGGTGCATGGGGATTGGGTGCAGGGAATGGGAAGGATACACTAATGTTTGGGGATGGGGAAGATAGTAGATTGCAGCCAGGGATGGATATGAAAATAGATCTCTTGACGAATGCAGGGGCTTCAAGGGGGGAGGCGGGCATAGGGTTGAGTGTACGGAGGGTAGAATGATAGATTTCTGGTTGGGATAGTAATGAGAATAGATTGCGTCATTGCTATCTAGGGAGGGATAAGAGAATAGAACAGTGGTGGATGGTGCACATTTGGAATTGTGGATGAGGGTGGAGATAGGTATTGCTTATTTTGAGATGGACAAAAAGAGTTGTACCAAATGAATGCAGTGGCAGAAGTCTGGGATTCGGGGAAAGGATGAAAAGAAAAGAGTGAATGGGTTTGCCCAGCTTCTATTTATACATGAGTGGTGCTGAATTGTGTGACTATCTCAAACTAAAAGCTTAAATTGATAAAGACATGTCACATTTATTCACTTGTTGGGTCTGTTGGTCTACAACAAGTTACCTCACATTCAACCCTGATTCTTTTTGTTTTTGTTGGGCCAAACACTTGAAAGCTGTTTTTTAATAGTGAGTGGTGGTTAGGCTCGAAGGACCTCTGCTTATCTTGAATTATGTGACCATGTCATCTAAAAGATTAAGTTGTTGGAGAGTCAACACGGTTATTTACTTATATTATATTTTCATGAGGTGTAATTTTTGGCTAATTCGCTAGTTTGATGACCCTCATATTATTATTCTGTTCATTGGTTAATATTATTGGTCATTGGATCTAATACAATCTATTGTTTACGATGCATCCAAACTCAGTGCAAATTTCAATGCTGCTTAACCCGAGCATTACTTATTAGCTTGGCTCAATTCGATTTCGAGCTTGATTGAGCCAC